TGAAGTCACCGCCGCTGGGAAACTCACAACCTCCTCCACATCCTCGTAGAGTGAGGTATCGTCTGCAGACATGTTCCCCGCCAACAACTCACCGGGCCAGGTAAGCACTCCGCTAAAACCCGCAACAGATGCCAAGACCGCTGATGAAGATCCAAGAGGTCGATACCGAGAAATAAATCTCACTGGCAGCTCGCTCAGACGTCCATCTCCTGACTGCCAACCAGGACGATATGCGGCAATCTCCGTCCAATAGTCCATCCGAAAGCCCATCGGGTATAACACCACTCCACCAACAAGCACATCATATGACTCTGCTGATGTAACCACAGCACGAACTCCAAACTGCGAGCTATCATGTGAGATTTATTTCTCGGGATCACGAGGGGTATACAGTCGGGGACGGCTCGAAGAACGTCAGTTCTTCGAGTCGAGCCTGGAAGCGTTGAGTTCTTCGAGTGAAATAGACGGGAGATTCCCCACTGGAATTCCCGTCGGTCAATTACCCTACTGGCAATAAACCGTCACCGTCACAAACATGAGTCAAGCCCAACCCACTCCACACTCGGAGAATCCAGGTCGACGCAAAAGGGAAAGTCACTCTTCGCTCCCAACGCTTCCAGGCTCGACTCGAAAAACTGACGTTCTTCGAGCCGTCCCCGACTGTATACCCCTCGTGACCGGAACCCTAACTTTACGGCTAAATATAGTAAGTGTCTGAACTTCGTGAGCCGACTCGTAACTACATGACAGGAATTCCAACCCCACAACAGAATTCCATCTTCGAGAGAATTAAAGCACTACGATGAGCACGTAGTCCGACTTCAGGAACTCGCAAAGCATGCAATTTGATCGGTCGCGCCATTGCTGCTATCTCTCGTTCGTGTCTCTGCGTCCCAATTCCGCATCGATTGCAAAATTTGTTCGGAAAATGTGGGTAGCGAGCTTTCGACTCCTCGGGTGTACCCCGCTGATGCAACGGTTTCCCATTTGTGCGAATTGAAGATGCCGCCATTCAAATTCTTTCCCGTGCGGCACTATCTTTTACGTCTAAAGAGCTCCTTTACCCGTTCATGTGACCGCGGAAGCTCCGAGGTCCTCAATCGCGAATACTTAATACCCTTCATCCGAAAACCCGCCTTGGAACTCAAAGGAACTAGGTTTTCCGATTTCCAAATCTGCTCTTCCAAATTAGGATCTCACCGCTTCTGGAGGCCGGCGCTTATGCTGAGTTTCCCTCAGAGGTACTACTACTACCTCACTTTATGTAAGAAAGACCTATTCTATTATAATCTAACTACTTCTACCCTAAGAGTTAAAAACAACGTGGATTTCCCATCCTATTAGTTCAATTTTGGAAAAAACGAAAAAATTGGCCTACCACATCTCCTCAAAAGACAAATGCTGATACGCTGCTCAGTCGCTTCCATGTTGAGTCTGAAGATGTTTATTGTATAGCTCAGGTCGAAACGGGAAGTGAAATAGTTGAATATTTTTAGTGCGTTTTTGTTTCACGCCTGCACCTTCCCGACTCTCCCTTTCATTGAAAACTGACATTGAACTGTTTCCACCTTCTTGCCACATGCAAAATATTTTGCAATCTTCAGACCGTATTGAATCTTATGTACTTTACCGAATGGCGTTTCACTTGGCATCGAGTTGTTGGAAATTCCGCACACGTTGCGATACCTCTCCTGGTCTGTCATACACTTCTTAAAGATTCAGCAAACATATTCATACAAATCAGAAATTCAAAGGTACAAAAACTGTGTAATCAAGACTTAACTGGAAGCATCTACAAAGGTGTATATACAACTACTGAAACAAGAAACGATGCAAATCTGAAAGTACACAGCAGTGAAGAAAAAAACTTACAAGAAAGCTTTCAAATCTAGCAGAAATAAACTGCTGTTAAGTTGATGTTCTATAGTATCTATGTTGACAACGCTTTTGTAATACCACTGTGATATCACTGTATTTGAGAGCAACGAGTAAGCACATGTAATTATCGTACGTGACAGTGAAATTTATCGTTGAATCTGGTAGTAATTACTGACAGTGGTTGATTCGACACATAGGTAAAAACATCAAGTCAAATGACAGTATAAATTATTGTCAAATCAAGCAACAGTCACGTGTAGTAGTTGATTTGACAAGTAGAGAAAACATGTCGTTCGTGATCGTCTAATTTGTCGTCAAATCTTGCAGTAATTGATTCCTGACAGTCAGGCGAAAGATTAGGCAAGAAAGGTCTAAAGAAGCAAACAAGCACTCACCACAAGAGAAAACTAAGAAAGAACTATCCCAAACATGATCGAAATGATCGAGAGAGTAAAACATTTTGACATCGAGCAGTTGGTAACATCATACACGTTGCAGTTTTTCATGGTTGAACGTTGCAATTCAAAAGTGACAGATTTGTTATTCTTGTTTTCATCGAAAGTTGAGAACTGTTGGCATCGAACGTTGAGACGCGTAACAATAACACGTTGCATAGTTGAGACGTTGACACGTAGGACTAGTTTTTCTGATACTTCGTAAACTGTACGTATTGTGTGCCAAGTTTGAAGGTCTTACGCCGTAAAGCCAAAATCGCAATCACCCTTAATTGTGGCATCGGCGGAGTTTTAATTGTGGCAAAGGTGGCATTTATTCCTAAAATGCCATTTTTAAGGAGGTCTGGTATACGCGCTATTAGATTGGATTTATCTTGCAATTTGACACTTATATTCATGAGTCACAAGCCCAACATGCTCTCTAAAAGTTTTTGTTATCATTTATGTCATCATTAATGATTTTAATTAGATATGTTTTATTTGATACAATTAATCGTAATCTACTATAATTAATATCAATCTTGTAAATATCAATGTAAATAGTCAATTGTAATTTAATTTTTGAATGTGATTCAAATGAATTTTTTTGAATCTTTGATTTTTAAAGTTTTTTGATAGAATTATTTTATCTTAAGTTCAAAATATGAATTATGTCTGAAAGCTTTTGAAAATATTTTAGAGATAACAATATATATTTTTTACTATATATCGCACTTAAGCAATTGTATTTGATATGATTGAATTGAATCATGTTTCAAAAAATATGATATTAGCTATTTCAGTGAAAAAAATATTTTATACTCTAACATTTTAAGTGATTTTTCACACACGTAAAACAATTTAAACATATTAAAATTATTTTTGAAATTTTATGTTTAATTTAATAATATATACATAAATTCTAGTTAAAAAAGTTAATCTATATTCAATTTTATTACAAATAGATTCAAATTGCTTTAACATATTAAATTCAATGCAGAAAGCTATCACTCATGTTCAAATTTATGATTTTTTTACATAATAATTCAACTTTGTGTACACAAAGTTGAAAAAATATAAATAAAAAATATTTCGTATTTTTAAATATTTTTTAAAAATTGATTATCTTTTCTGCTAATACACATATATATATATATATAATTTCATTTTTCATTATACAACTGTAAAAAATAATTTAATATAAATTGATACTGAAATTTGTAAGAATTTATTACATTTTAGATTTTTAACCATATTTTTTCAGATTGTTTTTTTGAAGAGAAATGCTTTGTAATCCAAAGATATGAAGATGTTATCAAGGTGTAGAGAGATGAAGTCAAAATAGTTGATGGTACTAGACCACACCAAAATCAAAAATATTCTGAATTCCAAGTGCAACTGAATAATTCCAGCTATTTCAAGAAAACTGGTAGAATATTGACGCTCGAAACAGTCCATACAATCTGAAAAACTATCATATCATTTTGTATCTTTTAAAACCTTAGATGTGGTACTCTCTTCAGGTAGCGAACGCCACAGATTCTGAGTTGGTCCTCTAGCAATGAATACATAGCTGTACGTTCTAAGCCCATACCTCTCGGCCCCCACATAACCTAGACCCAACTAGGTGATGTGGGGGCCGAGAGGTATGGGCTTCTGTCCCTACTTTCCTGCGAGAGGAAATTAAACCCCACGCCACAGATTCAACAGTTCCTCGTCGCATCTTCGTCTTCCGTCCATATCTTCCGTTATAGCTATGCCGCATATCCATCTCAGCCAACTCGGGGGTTCCGCTACTGGGCCCCTTTTACAGCTCCGAACCTGCCCACTCGTACGAAGGAGCGAAGCAACGATGGCTGCCCTAAATCTCGACCGCCGAACATGAACCGAGTGACAAGTCGCGGTAATCCCAGTGGCCTCCCGCCGTGAGCTACCGCTAGTGTCGCCCAACGAGAAGCTACTGCGACCATGGGAGTACGACGAGTCCGACCAGTTGCACATAGTCAACCACGAGTAAAGGACCTCTGTAAGTAAGACAAAGATACAACGCGCACGGTGACAGCCGGGATTTTTGTCAGGGGACGGTGCCTTCACTTACGCAGTAATGAATCTCAAGAAGTGGAGTCTGTGTTAGAGTAAATGCTACCGACGAGAGCTGCTGGGGCCACGACAAGTGTCAGAACGAAGTAATATATAACAGGAATAATTGAAGTACTCCTTAAATTGAAGTCCTCCTTTAAGTAATTGAAGTAAGCTTGTCGGGGCCTTGTGAATATTAAAAGGGAAAAAAACAAGAGATATATCAAAGTGATACCGATACATTAAGAGGCCAAAAGTAATCGTCGGGGAATTCAATAAATTGAATTATAATAAATACGGGAAGAAGAGTGAGGTACAAAAGCAACAACAGACAGCCCCGATTATATAGAGTGACGGGGTTTGTTTCGGTGTGAACATGCCACCAGAACTGGAAGCACGCACGGCTCCGTAACCCTAAAGCGGAGCCGGGTATATTCTCGAGAACATCCACCTTCTGTATTTTCCATGTTTTATTATTATTATTTATACCTCTGTTGGAATTATTTCGGATTTTTAATTATTTATATCCCGCTAGAAGATGGTGTCCGGAGAGATATGCTACGTGTTAGCGTGACGGTATCTGGAAGATGGCAACGAGCGAAGGAGAGCGAGAGCGAGCGAATCAACCTGTGGCAGGCCTTGGTACCCCCGCCTGCCAACGAAGTCTGACGAAGAACATGAGCAGCAGCGGGCGAGGAACGAAGGGCTGGACCTGGACGAGCACGAGGACGAGCAGCACGACGAACAGGGAGCGAGAGAATCGGGAAATTTGCTCGCAGGCAGGCACGCAGGCAGGCAGCGAGGGAGTGAGGCGGTGTGGGCGAGCTCGGAGAGCAGAGGTGAGCTGAGGGCGAGAGCAATGGCTGCCCTGAGTGCATGTGGGGTGGTGTTGCCGGGGTTGAGGAGCTCTTTGGTTCCTGCAGCTGCTTCACGCTCGAGCGATGCTGCTTCGTGTTCTTCCACATCCGCGGCTTGCGCGGTGAAATCGTCAGCTTCTGCGAGAAGAGGCGGAATTTCAGCCGGGAGTTGCAGTCTTCAACAGCGCGGGGCACCCGCATGCACCTCTGGATTCAAGGGGGTGACTCTGCCGATTGTCTCGACTTCGAGTTCCACCAGCCGCGCCTCTCGTCGAGCCCCTCTCTCTGCGCGCTCCGCGCTCGTGGTGGGTAGCTCAACTCTTTTCCCGTCCCTGGCCCTCTGACCGCATCGTGCTCCGATTGTGCTAATCGCCCGATGGAATGCTGCGCTCGCTGACCTGAATTGAATTGAATCGAATGTGTCGGAAACAGCAAAAAGTAACGGCGAAGGAGCTGGACGACATTCTTACGAACGCCAGAACTTCTCCGATGATCATTGATTTCTACGCGACTTGGTGTGGGCCATGTATAGTACTTGCGCAACAGCTGGAACAGGTGAGTCGCAGCTTTCACGCTCTCGAGTTTCCATCCGCTGCCTGATTGCCCCTCCCCCCCAACCCTCTCATCTCCTGGTCGCCGTAGGTAGACCATTCTCTCCAATCCAAGAAATCGCCCTCGAACGAACGGGAGCCCGAGTCAATTGAAGGTGACCAGCCGCGGAGTGTCCATGTTGAGGATTTAGAACCAGCTGACGCAGAGGAACGCGAGCTTGACGTGGAGGATAGGATAGGGTAGCAAAGGAACCATCGAACTCAACGCGTTGGCAAATTGGAGCCTCGTTCGAAGCATCGCACGTTGCAATAGACGGGGCGACGCGCCTGCCAGTTTGAAAGAAGAAGCGCCCGCTGCCTCTGCGTCCGACGTCGATTCCTGAGAAAAGACGTCGAGATTAAGGTGATAGATGAACACGCCTTCGAGCCGGCAGACTCGAAGATGACCACGAGCAGCGTCGTCCGGACTGCGGATCGTCGCATCGTCGAGCAGCTGGAACTCTCGATGAACACGATGAACTCGATCTTTCGAGGAAAAGAACTCTTGAATCCAGCGGAACACGATGTCGAAGATTGTGCTCTCGGAATTCAGTTCGTTTTGCAGTGTGGAGATGAACGTAGTTGTATGGCTTGGAGAGTACTGTTTGATTTAATTTGTCCTTGCGCTTTGTGGAGTCCTTGTGATTGGCTTATGCGCAGAGCCATAGATTTAATTTGTCCTTGCGCTTTGTGGAGTCCTTGTGATTGGCTTAAGCGCAGAGCCATAGAGCGCGAAGTAAATGCTGGTCATCCCGGCAGGTCTTTCGAGCTGCCCCGGGACAGATTTTATAAACTGAACCTTTCGACGAATTTTATTAGAGACGTAGAGATGAAGGTGGTATACATTCTGTCAGTCTATCGACAGGAGTGGGTTAGCCCTATTACTTTCAATCAGGAATTACGGATTGAAAGCAATAGGTGCTTCTTCCTCCTGGGGATGCAGGAGTAGATGCAACTAGAAGTAAACTTAAGAAACATTATCTCTGAGTGGCGAGGACTTCAGCAAGTTGGAAGGGTACACCATCCATTTTTGTTAGTTTATGCTAACAATGAAGCTGTGTCGTTTATGTATCTCGTGTCTGCATCATGATTTCTTGCTCGACCACGAGTCGTACTTTCTGAGGCTTACTTGTTTTTCAATCCTGTTGCAGTTGGCCGTGGAATATGGCGACGATGTGAGGTTTTTGAAAGTCGACACTGACGAGGAACATGAACTTGCCACTCAAATGGAGGTGAGTTCCTGTCCCGGTCTTGGGGTCGTCATGCGTCCCTTGTAAGTGCTCGTAGAAGGAAAAGAACGTCGGATTGAATGGAGGCAGTTGTTGCATTCTTCGCTGCATCGTGGGAGGTCATTGATTACACAAGTCAGTTTTTTCCGAATGCTAATCGTTTCATGTGACCTGGGTGTGTCTCTATGGCGGGACAGATTCGTGGCTTACCCACAATGGTATTCGTCAGTTCTGACACAGAAAAACTGGCTATCCGCACCGAGGGTTTGCTGCCAACTGAAACCATCCGCAACATCATCGAGAAAGAATTATAACGGGCTTGATCCGAATTATTATACGTATTATACTCCGCCAGGAGAGATTTGTAGCAGTAGTGTAGGACAAGGTTTGCGTCTCACTCCCAGCTGTATTTATGAGCTCTGCTCAATAAAGATTACTCTTCGATGTACAATTGGCCGCTCGCCTTTCTCCCGTGTCCATCAGTGTGTGCATGCAAACAATCAAGTCAATCAAGCCTGCTCTCCCAGCAAGAGATTGATATCCCACGAGGACTATTTAAATTTTCGGCATCTATTTTCGGTGTTTGATTCCGATAGTAACCTCTGCATTACGCAAGGGTCATCTACGAATACCCTCTGTATTGATGATCCCAAGTCTGGATTGCAGCCGTACGCAGCCCTAATCACCAGCACTGTCATGGTTCAAAGATCTTTGTGAGCCGGTGAGCGAAACACATAAATGTAATTCCTCACCTCGAACACGGGAAAAGTGAGACTCTGGAGGGTTCTAGAAAAATAGGAATAGCCAACTCTCGACGTTTTAGCTTTGGTTTTGGATAACACATCGACCAAAAAATATGTAAAGCGAAAAGGACATGCTCCTCCATTCTCGGGCCGTAGATGTGCCGACCCGCTGCGTAGGTGAGTGAATAGCTCTCAACGATATATGAAACACAGGGCGCCCCGTCCTTTGAAACTAGAGTAGAAGGGGCGAGAGTAAGCTCGGACTCAGGCCATATTCAACGCCCATTGTACGTGAAGAGCAAAAGGCTCCTTGCGTCTGGCCAGGGCCCGCAGCTCGTAGACATTGTTGGAAATTCTCCAGCGGCGCCCATTCTAACCCTACCAACGAAGCTGCAAAGTTACTGGAATCAAATTTCGGAGCACAGCTGTGGCCGAAGAGAACCGACGTAGTGGAGCTGAAGTCAATCTTGTAAGTTTCGGAGAGAGGAAGAGGGACCGAATGGTGGTGGAGGTAATGTCGGGTCCAGAGATATGGCGTTGAGAAGAGAGTTCGTCGGCGTTGACTGCGAAGGAACGAGAGAGAACGAGAGATTCGGGAGCTATGGCGCTGGTACAGAGAGCAGGCTCATTTTGGAACGCCAGGCGAACTTGTGAATTGTCTTCTCGCGGATTAGCCTCTTACGTTTCGTACAATTGCAAGGCGACGCCGCCCCGAGCGCGAGAGTGCAGCGCATGCATTCACACGGAGCCTGCTAATGCTAATACCAATGCCAATGTCAAGGCCCCAGCAGGGGGTGGGGGCGGCGGATCCAAACACTTGATTAGTGCGAAACAAATTGAGCTGACATTCGCCGAGCTGGAGCTCAAGCCCGTCCAGGAGCAGGTGGGAGGATGTCGCATCAGGCAGCATGTAAACCCTTTGAAGGCCTCTCTCATGGCGCCTGTGAAAACCCCAAACTGGGACGAGGTCTTCACAGATTGCTCTCGGCCTCTCACGGTGGATATCGGATGTGGAAGCGGCAGATTCGTCATGGTCCTCGCTAAGAGAAACTCTGCCGAGAATTTTCTGGGCATCGACGTCCGAGAGCGGCTGGTGGACCGAGCGAAACAGTGGGCTGAGGAGCTCGACCTTACCAACATACATTTCGTCACCACCAACGCCACCGTCCATTTGGACACATTGCTCGCCTCGTACCCTGGCCCTCTTGCATATGTGACAATTCTGTGCCCGGATCCTCACTTCAAGCAGAGGCACCACAAACGGAGGGTGGTGCAGAAACAGCTCGTGGACACCATCATTCGGCATTTGGCCCCCAAAGGAAAACTTTTCATCCAGTCTGACGTGAAAGAAGTAGCCATTGACATGAGAAAGCAATTCGACGAGCATTTAGGGTTGACCTTAGTAAGGAGCTCTTCTGCTCCCTGTGATTCCGAAGGCTGGGTTGTAGACAATCCTCTGGGACTGCCCAGTGAGCGAGAGGTTCACGTTCTAACTCAAGGCGGAAGGATTTACAGAACTCTTTATGAGCGAGCTTGAGCTTGAGCTTGAGCACATTTTTATGGATTAGAGTCAGCGGCACAGGATTGCCTCCTTTGTCATTCTCTTCTCCATCCCTGCCCCGTAGAAGCGTAGGGATGCGACCTTAGTCTCAGTAGCTCGAACTTGGATGCAGATTCTTGAGGATCTCTGTCTGGCCTTTTCCAAACGATGGCATTCCGGCAACTGTGATTGTAACTCTTCCAAATGTCTGATACATTTTGTGCCTCAAGTGAATTTTCTTCCAGGCAGGACGTTCTTCGACCCATGTCCAGTGGGATTAACGATGTCCCGCAGCACTACTTTGTGCAGCACAGTGAAGAAAGCAGCAGGAGCTGTGATTTATCGCCAAGAAGGTCACAAGTCGCGAAGGATTGAGGTGGATCGCTGCAACGGGGCGCAAAAAAATTGACGGCAAAAGAAAATTTCCTTGGTTTAGCACGAAAGGTCGTAATTACTGTGGCCTGCGAGTTCTAGTGTTTGGCTGGAGGACGCTCCCTCATTCAATTCTGCAAACGAATTCTGATATCCTGACCGCTCGTAGCACCAATTTGAATGGTCGATTGCGGTTTGCACAAGCGGAGAGGAAGGAACACATGCCCGCGTTTCCATTCCACATTTCTAACTGCTCAAGATGCCCCGCCAGGTCGAGGTTGGGTTGTGCCCGGCTGTCAGAGGAATTAAGTACGTTCACGGCCCGAAGTGTATACGACATTCAAGCTTCCGCTTGCCAGTGGGCTTCTGCGGCAGTTAAGTCAAGTCGGTAGACTGCCGACACCCATGCTTCACTGTCACCGGGTCGATACACGCAAGGTGTTGGCCTGTCGACCGTCTCCGAGGGCTCTCTGCAAGATGATTCTGAAGGTGTGTACCAATCGGTCAGATGAGGAAAGTCGGAAGGTGGCATTCAGTCCCCACTGGACACTTTGGATGAATGTACTTATCAACCAAGATTAGTACTTATGAATTTCTGGGAGCAGAAATTGTACTCCGATGTACTATGTATGCACAGAAGATTTCTCCAAGGTAGTGAAAATTTGGATGTACATCGTGCTTCAGTACGTTTAAATGCCAAATAGTTTCTGATAATCTGATGAAACCTGGACTCCTCTTCGCCGGGATCTTTGACCCACGATGAGTCTAACGAAGTTTTCCCTCGGCACTTGGAATGTCATTCTACATGCTCAATCTGCTTCTAGGTTTAAGACTGATAATGTTATTTTTTCCTTTCTGTCAAATCATCAACACGTCGACGTTGTACAGCCATGGCATCTCAAGAAGGACTTTTAACGACTTCTCTCCTCCAAAACTAAATACTGTACATGGAAATTCAATTCTCAATACCTCATCTACTTCTTTCTTGATAAGTGGGCTAATCTCAGAACTCAGAGTGTGACCTGATGCTTCTTATACCCGAGTGCTACGATGGTAACCTTATTCATGATGTTTACTCCAGTCCTCGAGTGTATATGAGTAATCTTCAACATGCAACCCATTATTATAATCTCGACCTTGGGTGCTCCCCAGTCTTCATGCCCCACCAAATATACTGCGTTTTATCTTTCCTCAAAAGGCGAGTTTATGCCTACAGGTTATAACGAGATATTTTCCGTTACTTGCATCAGGCACTTTAGTCTCTCTTTAATGTTGATTCATTGGACCTTGAGTTGCTCGACTTTTTTGGTGAGGTCATCAACTTGGGACTGAAGTCCCTTCTGGCATCCCTACAGTGATAGGGATACTAATTATGTGGTTTATACTTCAAGACCTCATTCAAGGGACAAGAGGCTTCCTCAGGTCAAAAATATTGACGAGTCATGTGACTTTGCCGAGCCTTTGACTGCTAAATTTTTTCGTGCCTTGTGAGGAATGTGGGTCAATCTTACCATCCGCCAATATATGTTGTACAATTCATAAGCTTCAATGGCGTGTATGTTGGCTTCCACAAGGATATTATACGAACTCCTACGCAACATCTCCTGGTTAGGGTTTACTTTTTCCAACCAGTGACATACCATTCAATATTTGCTGTTATTAAATACGCTCTTACTGTCTATCTATTAAGTTGAGTAGTTTCTCATCTTTCCTCGCCTGATTGCTCCCAACCTTTGGAGCAAAATCGATTCACAACTCATCTTTTGGAACTGAGCCAATAGATAGGCTTGAGTCTACGATAGGAAGCAATGTTGCATACAGACTTTTATATCTTGTGGTTCACCCGGAATCAAGCTATTTTTCTAAGGAAGTTGGGAGGAATAAAACAAAGGCAATATTTATTTTTTGTCTAGATGTTTTAAATTTCTTAATGTATAAATTTGACATCTTCAGATGTAGAGTTTTCTTTGACTTTTGGTACTGATATTGGTGTTTTGTGACAAGAGTCTCAATTTTTGAAATCACATTGATGAAACTCACTTTGATTATTATAATGAAGATTGAAAACTCACTGTTTTAATCCCATCTCAGTGATAAATCTATTCAATCAAATAGATTTTTTTTTTCTTTTACTTATGTGTCATTTACATATTCAATGTACGTTATGAACTGAGTTAAACACTTTTACAAAATAAATTTCCAACTAATGCATCCATATCAAACAAACACAAATCAAATTTGTAAATACAATTTCACTATACTATTTCACAAGGATTTAGTGAATCTGTATGGATACAGATTCACTTCAATGCAATTTCCTTGAATTTCATATTATACTTGTGCATAGCTAGCACAATATCTAATCTTGTGCATGTTATCGAATATATGAGATTTTTCAAAATTTTGTTATGAAAATGGATTATAAATTTTCAATGTCAATATCATTGATTAGATATTGAGATGAGAGAAATTTGAATTGTGTTGCCAAAGAAATGTATAATCCTTTAGAGTTTATACAACTGAAGAGTTTGTCATGCTAAAATTATCAAGCATAAGCTAAACCTACTTATCTTGATTTAATCATAACCTTTTCATCTCCAATTTTTTATGAATATACATTTTAATATGCTCTTGTACTTATCTAAATCTTTTGTTTTAAATGAAAAATTCATCTAGTTCTTGCATATGTCAACATTGGATTGATTTTTTGCTAAAATAATCATGTATATGCATAGAGTACTAGAATAATGATATTGAAGATTTCAATTTTTTTTCATGTTTACACAAAGATCATATATATATTCCGTGATTTTATTTATCATTTCATGAACTTATCAAATCTCACATTCCACTATGCAATATCTTGTTTCAATCTATACAATGATTTCAAAAATCTACAAATCAATATTTTTTAATTTTTTATCAAAATCAACTGATTGTTTCATGTTAATTTTTTTCTCTATAGATTCATAGAAAAATATTGTAACTACATCTATAATATCCATATTGGATCAAATATCATAGCAAATGCATAAATTGAAACATATTTTTTTAGACTTTACAAAAAGTTTGTTGGTAAAATTCTTATTCCAAATTCACATGAAAAATTGAATTGGCTCAACACACTTCATACAAACTTCAACATAGTTTGATCTAGCTTCCAACAACAACTTTTTGTTGCGATATATAAATCAAGGTGAGATGACAAATTATATAATTTTTTTTGCAATAAATTCAAAACAAAAAAAATTATACTTTTCATCAAAGTCTATATGTAAATATGTCATCTTTTGACAATTTTTTGTCTCAATTTGAATCTTTAAAAATCATTAACATCTTAAATATTTTTGTATGACAGTAGATTTATACAAACTTGAAATAATCATCAGTAAATGATATATTGTATAATTTTTCAGAGAATGAAGCTTTTAAACAATATACGCAAACACCATTATGTACATACTCAAATAATCTTGTAATTGTGAGTTGTAACTTCAAAAGTTTACTCATGATCCTTGTTCATAACATAATGTTCATAAAAGTCTAAGACAACTATATCAATGCCAAGTAATAAGACTTTATTGTCCAGAATTATCATGCACCCATCTCTCATATATACTAGTCTAGATTGTCATACATGAGGCATTTCAGCTTGAGATTTAGTAAAAATTGATTCATCAGAAATAATTATGAACTCTACCATGTATAGAACTTTGTGTTTGCAACCTCTTAACATCATCTTATCATTTTGCGGACGGAAACTCCATGATAGAATAAAAAATTAAATTGAGCATATAACTCAAGTAAAATCAAAATGGATAAAAATTGAAAAATCATTTTATACACGACTTAAAATATCATTCAAATTGTGAAAATTATAAATAGTTCTGATAACTGGAAGAGTAGGTACAATTGATATTGACGAAAGTGAAAAACAATATACCGAGATTATCTATTTACACTGTTAAGACATTACTAGTAAACTTTGAAGTTGGAAAATTAGCATAGTCTCTGAATATGAAAAAATTAGAAAATTGTCATCAAGTTCAAAGTTTGAAAAGTTCGAATCGCCTTTGTAGTTAAAAAAGTTGGCATTGACTCCGCACCATCGTAGTTACTATGTCACATCCGTGACAATAACATACTCTCATCTCAAACATTGCTTTCTAGAATTTCACTCAATGTTCTTTGATTCTATCCACCGAAGAAAGTATCAAATTTTTTTTAATATTGAATTTAAATCTAATTTGACTCAATGTATGTTAGATGTCATCAAAACATTTGAATCTTGTGATTTTAATATTACAAGATTTATCATTTTCCATAAGAACTAAAATATTTGAAACTAAAAATATTAAAAAATTTATAATGTAAAAAATGTTATAAATACAAGTATTTTTTAGATTCAATAACATCTTTTGGGAAATTGCATGAGATCTTTTTTTTTTTATCATAGTTCTTTGTCCAAAAATTCATGGTTTTCAAGATTAAATTTTTGAACTACATTGGCTAAAGAAGTATCGACTGTTTGATTTCAGATCGTCGTCTGCTTTAAGCCGTGAAACTTGGGGGTCAATCGTCCGTAAGGAACACTGACTCTATTATACCGTTCACAATGATGAGGTGCATGCGCAGATAATCCCCACTAGAAGAAAATATAGATTTAGATTCCAACTGATCTATACAATGGCACCGAACATTCTGCGGCATTTTATTCCTTTCTGGTCCTCGGTTTTCAAAGTCTTGCTCAAGATTCTTGATGCATTCACCCATCTAACGCTTTTCGGCTAGCGATGGAGGGATTCACGGGCCTTTTGTCGACCTGAAAAGTTCATTCAATCCAAATAAGCGAAAAAGGAAAAGAACCTTCCCGAGTTCAAAGGGCTCCGAAAGGTTATACTCTTTCGTAGCATCCATGCCCATTATTAAGCTCATTATTTTAGCTTATGATTAGGCTCAAAGCGTTCAATTATTGAAGTGTCTGTGGGAAGGCCGTGGTTACTGTTGTTACGCAGGGATCTCTTGACACGCCAAGTAGATCACCTCTCAACATAAACAATTTCATCGTGGTTTCCTAGAATCTAGCTTCTGATCATAATAACAGTTCTCTGCCAAAGAGTGACGAGATATTCATTTATGGTCAATATGTGTTCATCTTAAGTTTAGCTTCATTCTATCACCCGGTACAAGATATTTGAAATTCCTTATGTCGTAAGTATGTTTTGATTCAAAGAGAGCAGTGTATCTAGACTCCCCTTATCCAGTATTCTTACAGGATCCATAGAAAAAAAAAACATTCCGGGCATAATCATGAGATGAACCTGACCTCTGTGAGCCTAAACTCCCCACCCTTCAGCGTTTGTAGTCCAGGTGGGGGTTCGAGCTCCCATAATCTAACTTCTCTGATCTCAACCATGTGGTCAAAGTGTATTCAAGACAATGAGATCATAAACACTTGCTCTTCAGAGACAATTTATCCAGAATTGAAAATAATAACTTGATGTCTGCTATTTCCACAAGAGCAGCCGGCAAACGCTTTGTTACATAAAGATCTAATCCAACTCTGGGTGACTTTCTCAATACCACAGCCGCAGTGGTCTATCCTAGCTCCGAGTCCCACTCCCAATTCTTACTCAGATTTCAGTATCGATTTCTCAGCTTCCACCTTCAGACCCCACCAGATTCCTCTCTCTGATTCAACTCTCCCTTTTCAGTTTCAAATTCAGATCCCGATTGTCAGATTTTAGTCTCACATTTCACTTCACTCTCAGCTCCCATTCTCAGATCTTCCACTCTGATTTCAGCTCCCACTCACAGATTTTACACTTCACTCTCAGATCCCACTCACAGATTTTACACTTCACTCTCAGATCCCACTCACAGATTTTACACTTCACTCTCAGATACCACTCACAGATTTTACACTTCACTCTCAGATCCCACTCACAATTTTACACTTCAATCTCAGATACCACTCACAGATTTTACACTTCAATCTTAGATCCTAATTTAATTTCACTCTCAGATACAACTCTCACTTTTCAGTTTCAATTCAGATCCCGACTGTCAGATTTCAGTCTCAGATTTCACTTCACTCTCAGCTCCCATTCTCAGATCTTCCACTCTGATTTCAGCTCCCACTCGAAGAGTCGGCTCTCCACCCTTGAGAGTACTCTCCCTCCTACTTCAAATTCTCCACACTCCCTTCTAATTCTCACCACTTCCCTGCGAAAATCACTCACATCCACACTCTATTCCTCCTACCGATCCCACCAGCGTCTCCGCACAATGGCACACCACACGATCCCAGCTCGCAGGCCGAATAATCCTCACCAATGTCCAAGGGCCGCGTCACCCACAGGCCGCGTGAATGCCGTTCCCGCGATGATGGGCAACAGCCTGGTTCCCATGTGCGACTTCATGCTCCGCCGTCTTATTTCCCACGCTTGACTTCACACCGCCGCCACTGCCACACCTGTACATTCTTTATTCATGACCACGTCAACATCCGCCGTCCGAAATCTTCTTCCGCGCACCGCCGAAGGCATCCTCCTGCCTAAAACACTCGTCCGCACCTTTGCCTATCTATAATAGTCACCCCGACGCTCATAACTCACAGATCCCTGCTTCATTTCAAACGTTATTAGGCTTGTTGGAACGAGCGTGTTGAGCTCTTTCCAACAAGCCCTTAACTAAGTCAAACCGTTAAGAATTGAGAAAGTTATCACTGTTTTACTCTTCCGCCGAAGGCGTTTGCCTATGCACAGGTTTTCTACTCGCAACTCGCCTATACGCAGGCCGCCTACGCGCAACTCGCCTATGCGCAAGCTTCCTACTCGCAACTTTTTGTGCCGAATGAATTTCTATTTGTTATCGCCGAAGGACTCTCTATCTGTTATTGCCGAAATACTTTTGCCTAACCATGTTAGCCGCTTTCGACGCTCATAACTCAGTGATCTCTCATCCGTTTCAAGAGTTCTTGCTCTAGTTAGAACGAGCGCGTCGAGTTCTTTCCAACGAAACCCTAATCAAGTCAAACCGCCAATAATTGAAAAAGATATGTTCGTTTATTGTTTCGCCGACGGCCCCTCTATATGTTATCGCCGAAGTACTTTCGCTTAACCATGTCAGCCGTTTTTTACGCTCATAACTCAGTGATTTCTCATCCGTTTCAAGAGTTATTGGTCTCGTTGGAACGAGCGTCGCGAGTTCTTTCCAACAAGACACTAACTGAGTCAAGGCGTCACACATTGAAAACGTTATGAAGGTTTCACTGTTTAGCTGAAGGCTTTTCCCCAAAGTTATTTCAACGGAGGCACTTCGTCGAAGACCTTGACCCGAAGGCCATTTCCGCACCTTTTGCCCCCTAACCATCACACCCACTCCTAATCTTGCCAAAACTTTCAGAAAAACCCCAAGCATAACTTTGCAAGAGCTTAAATCCAAAATTTTAACTTTCATAATGATAAAAATACATGTGAACATAGTTTTGTACTCACAACCTCACTTCTTATACGCTAGCAAGTTATTTCTTCTTTTCAAGTAGGAATTGGATTTTCTCTGAGTTGTTCACAGAAATCTATCTCCGAATACAACCAGCAACTTGTAGTCCGGAGAAAGATAAAACCAAGTGACCTTAGCTCGAAGTAGATGCCAAAGTCATGTACTCCCGCGTACGATCTGATGCTGGAATGACTGGGACCTGGACCGTTGACCCGCAATACAGTGGATTCATGCTGACTTGTGATATTAGCAGCTCTTGGCAGCCCTATCCGACAAACAACCATTTATTTCGGTTCTTATGGCTGGCGCTACTTCTGACCTTGGAATGAAGAATTTCCTGATTGAGGAGCTCATCGAGAAGTTCTATCAGGAGTGGAGGTTTGAGTTATCAATATGTGAATTACATCTCCAAAAGAACTGGAATGTGAAGTTCAGTACGTCTCCCTTCTCTGATAGATTTTGTGTCCAGAAGGGAAGCTAGTAAATTTCCACAGCTGATACGTGATTGCATTCCTGGGCATTGATTTGAATAATCGGACTTCTGAAACATCGAGACTCTCATGAGTGATTGAGAGAACGAAAACTTTATAAGAATTTCGACTCCTCGATCACGAGAGCTCGTACTTCTCAAACGAATTGGTCATTTAAGTGTTCAGAGAATTTTCGCGGAAATGATTCGCATCACACAGAGACACTTCGCAAACCGTAATGCCTTTCGTGTTCAGATTTAGACCAGTGCTCTCCCAACATACCTGCTAGAAGCAGATACACCAAGCTTCAAGCAAGATAGCCACATGCGATGTTTTTGAAAAGCATGAGAGACCTAGTGTTCACCAAATGAATATGGGATCTTCCAGACACAGAGAAAGTACTACATATATCTCATCTTCAATTGAAGGAAGACAAAAGCTTCGTGATCACAGTCCATCGATATCCACCACTCGATAAATGAGCACAATCAACGCATCGCGGGATTTGATTCAGCCATTACTTTCCATACGTCTAGACAATCACTTCACAAAACACGATTTTGCTCAGTAATGCTTTAGTTGAAGTTTGTGATAAACTTTGATCCCTCTAGGAATTAATAATAAACACCAAGAAACTGCGGATAATGGAAGGATAAGGTGAGAAATGTGCGTGTTCGATACACTCATTTCCTTTTCCGTCAGTATGGTAGTGTATTGTTTTCTCAGTATTGCTGGGTCAAAACAATATTTTTCCACCTGCCATATGCAACATCTTGTGACTCTTCGATCACCACTTCAGCCAAATTCATCTCTTCACGCGCATTGAACGGAGTACAAGGAAAAGGGCTCCTCATGAGCGTCCACAACAGTGATTGGAATCAGGCCGAATGGAATAATGATATCGGGTAATCTGGACATACAGATTCCACAGAATATACACATGGTAACACATCATTTGCCCGGATTTCTTGCAAGCCAAATACGGATAAACGAAGAGCATGGCCTGAATCTGACCTTGAAGATTCAGATCTGGAGCTGAATGTCCTCATCAGTCCGTGGTCAAGCATTTCTGAGGACCAGCTAAAATCCTAAATCTATCAGTCACCATGACCTGGGGCATATTCTGATAGGTACCGCAAAAAGCTAACGCAGATGGCACGACAATTAACAATCATACCGACTTATTTATGTTTGGTGCTGTCTGGTAACAGGATCTCAAATATTGTCCGGGAATCGTGAAGCTTCCCGTTGAATCTTATGCAGCGCAAGGAGGCCTATGGTTTGAACTGGGATGACCTGGAACTGACATGTAGAAGTTTCTCAGCGTCCAGGCTGCAACTCTCCGAGTATAAAACGCTGAAGAGGGTTCCAATGAAATCATCCTCTTTTGCAGGCAGCGATACGATCCAGTGCTTCACCTGTCATAAAGTGCAAGCTTTTGATAGGCAGAATAGCACTGGCGAGTCCAGTTTCTGACCGGATCAAAGGTAAAGTCGGGCAAGGCTTTGAAGAAAGTGTAGATGCCATGCAATTGAAGATTCAAAAGACTTGTTTGTTTCGTTATTTCGTTTCACCATTCTGATTGATGCACCATAATTCGCTAAGTTTTATCAATCATCAGGCATAGGATAGAATACTCAATTCCTGTAATGCAATTCCAGTGTACATGCCAAAGGACGAAGAAAATTCGCTTGTTGCTGGATGTGGGACTTTCTCCTGCCAGTGATATTTCCTCCATGTCCATTATCGAGAAACAGAACTGAGTGTTTTTTACCGTTCCTTTGAGCAGCTAGTTTGCTAATAGTTTCACTCTCTGATCTTGCAGGTCCGATCACGAGAAGGCATCAACTCTGATACGAATCATGGCAAAGCCCGAAACAGGAACCTTGTTTCTGGCCTCGGCCTTGTTGATTCTGTCAGTGTCCGTCCTCCAGGGTGCGCAGGCCGTGGACTACCTCTTCTGGGACGGGCCTACTTGCTCGGGGCTTGTGCAGAGTCTCTGCACCTCAATCAGCAACGGAACCTGTTGTGTCTCGGACAATGCCTATCAATCTGTGCAGGTCCGAGGCGACAGATGCCAATGGACCACGGCATTCAAGGACGGCGACTGTGCCGCAAACATCACAATAAACACGAAGAATGGCTCCATCTGTTTCGACAGCGGCGGTCCCACTTACACTGCGGCGAGCTGGCAGAGCAGATGCATCAATGGCACGCCCATTGTGGAGGCTCCGATTCCGGCCGCCAACCTGACTATCAATGGGACGAGTAACGCGACCAACAATATGACGATCCCTGGAGCTCGCCGAAGAGCTCTGTTGAGCGAGTTTAGATCCCCCAATGTTCTGCCGGATCTGGATTGCACGCGGCATGTGGAGGTGGATGATAATGTGATATACTACCGGGAAGATCCAACGAAGTTTATCTGGAGCCTTCGAGTGGACAAAGCAGATAAAGCTGCGATGATGCAGCAACTTGCAGCCGTGCCCAAGTCGGATAAAGCTTTCTGGTTGTTCACTCATGGTGCTACGTACAACGTCGAGGCGTCAGCGAGTTCGTTTGAGCTTGTTGTTGCCTAACTTTAAATTGAGGTCCTGGCGGAGGATAGGAGAAGTGGATGCTGGGCTTGGTAGTGTGTAGGATTGATCTTCTAGGGGAATTAGATTCTGAAGGTAGTGGTTGTTGATCGAGATCTGCTGATTTTATCTCTTAGCTGCGTGTGTAAATGTCCTCATTGATTCCATTCATTGACACAATAATCAAAAAATTGCCCAACGACTGGCAGTCTAGTTATCGAGAAGGGATAACAAGAAGGAGATTCAAGTCCTCCTCGATCCTCGACCCATATTAAACTACTGCCAGTCTTCGGGCTTGTTGTAACAATGTTGGAGAAAGTGGCTGCATGGTTCGAGTTCTGAATTCAATATTGTATAGACGACAAGTTCTTTCATTAAGAAATGTCGGCGATTGCTGTCGATGATTTGTTTCAAGCATTTAATCTACCAACCTTACAGCAGCCAACCAATGACTGCTCCAGTTTTCATGGTACAGAGGGTACTGAAGGTGCATATATCAGAAACGCGTCAAAATATTTCTGTATTAGGAAAGAGTCCAGCGCATCGCATCAATCACTGAGTCCAGGATAGACCCATGCAACAACATTGCCACGGTGATGCGCACGCAGACCTGTCAATACGCTCACAAAAACACTACTCACAATTCATTGCTAATCAATCATCCAGTCTGATTCGGATAAAGTGACTGGCTTGATAAGAAATTCGTCTGGAGTCTGGCTCTCTCGAGTTATTAATGCAACCCTGGTGCAACATGATTAACACTAACAACATGTGCAAACGATGTTTATTTGACTTTGGATCTTGGAGCAATATAATAACCACAATTTGCTATAAGGTCAAGATTCTCCTAGATACCATCTCCCTCTGGTTGCCACAATCTTTCACCATGACCAGGAGCATGATCATTTCCACGAGGAAGAATAGATGCCATGGTGATTACTTATGCCCACGGACGTGTGGGCTTGTTTACTACTTTGTATGAATTGCGTTTTTTGGTTTGAAATCAAGGTTATGATGATACAAGAATCATAAAATCAGCACTTTCTTTATGTAGAATATGAGTGATAACATCTAAAAAAAATATAGTTCAATACAATATACAACTCATTCATCATACATTTTCAAATTTTCATTAGTCTGAATCATTTTTTTTCCATGACATGATTCGGAACAATACATTGATAACTTAGTTTTTCTTTGGTGATCTATGCACAACTTATCATATGAAAAAATGATTGAATAATTTTGACATGACTGATAAATGTTAATTTGTAGGCTCGAATTTTTTGTTCGGATTTGACCTTCAACCCAAACTCATAAACCGGGTCGGGTTCAGATCGATTTGGGTAGAGTCGAACAAAATCATGGAGAGAAACGAATTGTACTTTTTGTTTATTATAAATCATTTCAAAACACTTTTTCTAATTATCAAAGCATTAAAAATCGCGGCAATGAGAGAGTGCTATCACATACCAATCACATCATGACCGCAATTGAAAATATGTGCAACGGTTAGAGACGAACCTAGTATAGAAAGAAAGTACTTTGCAATTGCACTCATTAGGGAAAAAAAAATTTCATGAACTTTTCCATATTCGAGCAGATCAACGGTAGGATCTTCACATCGTAACCCAAAATTATAGACATCATATAAAAATAAAAATCATGTGAACTAATGGTACTTGGAAAGGACTTGATGTGCAGTGTACAGAGCATTTTTCATTGTTTTCAGATCGTTAAGAATAGTCACCTGTACTTCAATATACGAGAACAATTTGAACAATTTGACGAACACAAGCATTACAAAAAAGAGCGTTGGATATTTCTTCCCTAAAATTAATCACAAGGTCTCTTCAAACCTTTTCAGTTGATCACAAATACTTTGAAATCTTCATCATTCATCATCACTAAACTCCGACTGTTCCAGCTTGATGCTTCCAATATGAGGATCGGTACGGAGTCAATTCTTGAGGCCGTTTTGAACTTTAATTGCTCTTTCAACCACGTAATATGTTGAGTTCAAACGTGTTGAGATATACAAGATCCGCATCAGATTTCACACTTGGCAAGATTGCACTGCTTTCTTGGGTGAGGATCAAAACGCAATTTTTTCACTATAAACAAAGCCTTCAGATAAGATTAGAAGCTTCATTGGTTAGATATTTATCGTCGATTGAAATATCTTCAATTTTTTCCAAAAATTTCAAAAACAGTTTCATTGAAAGATTGATAATGTGTGGCAGACATTGGATCCTTGAATCATCATCGTTCCAAACCTTCAATATTTTTTCACGAATGCAATTATCGTCAATAGAGTTTTCCAAAGTTAACATTAAAGTTTCATTATTTAAGACATTGTTCATAGTTAAACATCCAACACACCCGACAATTTCAAATTTCTCCAATGTTTGCAAGACAATTATTGTCATTTCACTTCCACTGTGATCAGTCGTGTACTTAAATATTGGAAGCTTTTGATGAAGAATCTAGTTTGGAGCAATAAAATATATGATTATAGCCAAAAAGAGAATTGGTTTGGAGATGACCACATATCCAATGACATGTATATTGCTTTTGGACAATTCCTATTTAAGTTCAGCTTTCATATCCTCAACTCTCTTCATTATACCATCCGAAAGGCATTAGCTTTCAAGATGATCACATTGTCGTGTTTGCATTTGAATAATATTTCAAATGCTTTTGATTCAATGATGGTGAACGATTCATCTTCAAACAATACAAAATTCTCAATTGCCTCACAAATAAAATTGTTGCAATTATCTTAGGTTGTTGCTATTTTTTATCAAGAGTTGAGGAATTCCAGAGATAACAATCCATTGATACCAACAATGCTAAGCTGTTTTCACAATATTGACTTTTATGATGACTCTTCACATGCTTCATCTCATTTGATATACTTCAAGGTACTGTACTGGAACTTAAACGTTTTACTTTCGACTTTTCGACTTTTCGTGAGTGGTATTAAGCTTGAGATTGAAATGGCCGAGTTAACATGTTAACATTATATGAGCAGATTAATTAGGCTAAGTAAATTCATTTTAGACTTAGTTGCATTGTACAACATGTTAGGTCCGTCGTCATCACCCACAAACGAATTGAGAACAAGAGACAATTGACCATGTTTGACTTTAGATGATAGTAAACCTAAATAGCTTTGATACTTGAAATTTTGTTTTAAAAATACGAAATTAAGCGAATGTTTATTCATTCACTTCCAACTTCTCCCCTCATTCATTGCATTGTAAACTTGATTATTCTTTCTAAAATTCTCTGATAGATTCATTGTTAATTAAAATTCAAGAAATGCAACAAGAAACATTGAGAATCTCAACCCACGCAAGAGCACACAAAAATGACCTGATTCACCCAAAAGTATAAGACCACAAAATTAATTTATTATGTTTGTTCAAGGACGATATGTCTCTTGACTTTTTATATATATATATATATACACTGATAACTAAACCTAGGGTTAACTTTAACTTAATTTTAATTAGGAACTAACTCGAGTTAGGACGAAACAAAAGTTAACATAATAATAGAGACTAAAATAAAAACTCGAAATAAAAGAAGCTAATAAATAATCAAGACACCATCTATCGAGTTCACTAAGGCAATAAGTTCTGACCATAACTAAATTCACAGAAAGAATCCTCCAGAGTACCGTCTTGTGCACTGAATCAAAGTAGAAAATCCAGATATTCACACATCGCATCACATGTGCTCGACATTGTCAATTGTGAATGGCCCTTGAGTTTCAACAGTCGTCACGGTAGTGACCCATTCCACACACGTAACGCAATAACGCATACACAGTATTCATGATTCTTTCAATCGTCGCAGGAGCTTCATGGCTTCATCACAATAGCTCAATCGAGCAGACATAGGAGCACTCCTTGCTCTTTGAATGATGCATATTACAACGTCATTTACATCTGTTTACAATTACTTTAGCACATAGACTGCGACACCAACCATGTCGTGTCCATTTGCGGAAGGCCAGCTCTGAAAGGTTACTGGGTTCGAGACGGAGAGTTCATCATTGCTATGGCCTGTAGTAGCCGAGGACGGTGTACGCTGTCTGAATGCCGGTCATGGCCAGAAGGATGGTGGCGGCTAATAGCGAAATCATAAGCCACGGCCTGTCTTTAAGCCTGCCGAGGAAGCGCTCGGCCTCGTGCCGGATTCTTCCGAAATTTCTTATGCAGATGTTTCGGAGCTCGTTCTCGAAGAGAAAACTCACGTCGTAATGGAGATTCCGCAGGTCGGCCGTGTACTGGATATCAGTACTGGAATAGTTTTGCAGCAGATTGTTGAACAGATCAGCGACTTGCTGGTCGGCATCGTCTGCTGGCAGAGAGACGGAGAGAACAGAGCTCTGAAGCTGTCTCAGTAACCTCACATCGTCCGCAGTGTCGATCAGATTGTTCAACACCGAGAGGTAGCCGATGAGCTTCTGGCTGTCAAGGGGTGTCGTCTTTGCGAGCTCATAAGCGCACAGATTTCTCAGAATCCTTCTCGTATCGACTGTCACGTGGATCTTCGGTGGCGACAGAACTGCCGTGAAATGAAACGTCGACCTTTCGAATGCTGTGCCCGTGACGCCAGCATCGATGCCCTTCACGCGGATCCCTGCTTTTCGCAGCTCCGATGCCGTCCTAAACTGCTTTTGTACAGATCCAGGTTGCGATTGCTGTTCCCCTGTCCCGGACGAAATTGTGGCATGCTTCGTGCACCATCCACAAATATGACCGCACGTTGTCCAACACTCGTTGGGACTTGACAATCGTTCAGTGTGCTGAGGACTTACGTTCGACTCGCCAGGTGGGCACATGGTAATGTAGAGACATTCCAGCAAGTGCGTGCAATGGAGAAATTGAGGATGGACATCAGCACGTGCACAGGGAAGTTTGAACCTACGGAGGGCCTCGTCGACAGTGGCTTTGATGAGAGCTTCTGGCGATGGAGAATCCTTCACCAAATTCAAAACCTTCCCTATGAGCCTAAGAGGAATCTGGTTCGGAACTACCCAGACGTCAGAGAAGATCTGGTGAAGATTGCAAGCAACACCCACCTCGGTGAAGATCTGTCGAAGTTTTTGGAGCTGCTTCAGACCTCCCTGGGGTTCTGGCAGCTTGGATTATATCTCGATACAGAGTAACACCGTAAGGAATACAGCATCCAGAGTAAGACTAGACATGGCGCTCGAAGCATCCAAGTGTCTATCTCTCAAAGTTTCATCGTAGAGGTCTAGGAACGTATGTGCGTTCTCTTCTGAGCCCACCACCTTCTCGCAAAGTACATCCCACCTCAACTCAAACAGTTCCATGAAGCTGTTGACGACATCAAACCTCACTCTGTCCATGGCAGTCATCTTCACCCTGCTCCTCGTATACAATCCCAAATTAATGATCTGCACGCGATAATCCTCACTGCCAGCATTCAGAATCCGTAGGGGAACCGGGCTAATGCATGCCTTTCCGCGACCACCCTGATCCCGATCATTCGCTTGCCTTTTCTTATGGCACCCTTTTTAATCTCGTCAGGAATCGACAGAATCCACGGTGCCGGCTGTACCCTCGCTGCCGACAGTTCTAGTCTAGAACTGCTCTCCATCGTGAGCTCAGTGAATGGAAAGCTCCTCTCCTTCAGAATGAGCTCATGATGAAACAGAGAAGAGTCCTCTTGGGTCAGCTCCAAATTCAGGGCGATTTCCATACGAATTCGATCTCACTGACTGTAATCTATGACGTCTCGATACAAGCGGGTGCATTGGCTTCGAGCTGCTCATGTGCTCCGTTTGTTCACTGTCGGTCCTATCCATCTCATCCTCCTCCGACGCCTAGGGCAACTGGAACTCGTTGACCCAGACCGTGGCTTACTAGACGCGACATGAACATAGATACTTTCACGTACATACGGACATGTCGACCTCCAAATCCTTGTCGCAAAGTACGTACTATATTGGCCTTGACGTTTTCAATATGAATTTACGACACCCTGAGAGTGAGGAGCAGTGGCGAGAGGTGGGAACCCAGCTTTTTTCACTGTGGATTTACGATGCCCTGAGAGTGAGAGTGGCGAGAGAAGGGACTCCACCTTTGACTAAAGTGACATGCGGGAAATCTGGTAGGAATCTCTTGTCCTTTTGCGTCAGCATTGTACAGAGCTCAAGCTCGCGATGCATTGTACGTGAAAAAGTAAAGAGGCTACACTTGATTTGCGTCGGCCGTATCAAAAGGTCAACTGGACTACTCAAACTTTGGTAGTAGACCAGACCTGAGAACCAGCGTTGCTTCGATTACCAGATTCCAACACGACTTTCTCCTTCCTTTGGCTGTGACGCATCATGACAAGTGCGATGGTCCGTCACTGATATCCTAGTCGTTGAACGGCGTTGTCCAACTGAGCAGAGGAAGATCAGCTTTTGCTTCTGTACGGTTATTTAAGCTTGATCAGATGGAATCGCTCAAGACTCGGCTCGAGTGCAACTGACACGAAATGGGCTGTTGGGGTCCGGATTCTTGAAGTCTGCAGGGTATACATGTGGTGGTCGTGGTACATTTTGTAGAAGCCTCTTTCAAATATGTTCCTCTTGCTTAAACACTGCTGGCATATGATCTTGCTAACCACTGACATTAAGCAACCTTCATCGAGCATGAGAGAATCCGCGAGGTGTTTCGTATTGTCTCGTTCTTCTTAAGATGATCTTTAAAACTACCTCTAATTTTGTTCGTTCCTCTTCTAGGCAATAACTTTAAGCTAGGTCTAAAATATCGTAAATTTGTATAATCGCTGGTTGGGTTTTCCTTCTCTGTTTTAAGCTCCGCCTAAGGGGCCCCGTGAGAGTTCAAGCTCATTCCCATCGTCCACCGGAGGTGGGTTTAAATTCACTGCTGCTGTTGATGATACAAACACACTAGAAATCAATGACGCAGTGCTTGCTCCTCTTTGTATCAATCAGCAGGCTTAAATTGCCAAATATGTGCTTGTAAAGTTGCAGTCTCTGTAAGAGTGTGTGATGAACGAAGGTACAACAAGATCAACAAGAAGACTCTTGATGGGATCGAGGTTCAATGCTGCGTCAAAAGATTAGAGAAGCCAATATGAATGAATATATATATATATATATTTGATAGCTAAACCTAGGGTTAACTTTAACTTAATGTTAACTAGTTATACACTCAAGTTAGTGCCAAACAAAAGATAACATAGAGATTAAAATAAAAACTCGAAAGAAAAGAAGGTTATAAATAATCAAGACACTATCTATCTAGTTCACTAACGCAATCGGTTCTGACCATAACTGAATTCCCAGAAATAATCCTCCAAAATAACGTGTTATGCACTAAATCGAAGCAGAAAATCCACATAACTCTGCTCTATAACATTGGACTGTTGTGGTCGACATGGTCAATTGTGAATGGCCCTTGAGTTTCAACAGTCATCACGGTAGTAACCCATTCCACACACTTAATAACGCAAACACAGTTTTCATGATTCTTTCAATCGATGCAGGAGCTTCATGGTTTCATCAATCGCTCAATCGAGCTCAATCGAGCAGATATTGGAGCACTCCTTGCTCTTTGAATGGTGCATATTACAACGACATTTACATCTATCTATGAAGCACATGACTGCGACACCAACCATGTCGTGTCCATTTGCGGAAGGCCAGCTCTGAAAGGTTACTGGGTTCGAGACGGAGAGTTCACCATTGCTATGGCCTGCTATCGCAAGTAGTAGCCGAGGACGGTGAACGTTGTCTGAACGCAGGTCATGGCCAGAAGGGAAGCGGCGGCTGATAGCGAAATCATAAGCCACGGCCTGTCTATAAGCCTGCGGAGGAAGCGCTCGGCCTCGCGCCGGATTCTTCCGAAATATAGTATGGAGATGTTTCTGAGCTCGTTCTCGAAGAGAAAACTCACGTCGTTGTGGAGCTTCCGCAGGTCGTCCGTGTACTGGATATCAGTACTGGAATAGCCTCGCAGCAGATTGTTGAACAGATCAGCGACTTGCTGGTCGGCATCGTCTCCTGGCAGAGAGACGGAGAGAACAGAGCTGTGAAGCTCTCTCAGGAACCTCACATCGTCCGCGGTGTCGATCAGATGGTCTAACACCGAGAGGTAGCCGATGAGCTTGCGGCTGTGAGGGGATGTCGTCTTTGCGAGCTCATAAGCGCACAGATTTCTCAGAATCCTTCTCGTATCGACCGTCACGTGGATCTTCGGTAGCGACAAAACTGCAGTGAAATGAAACGTCGACCTTTCGAATGCTGATCCCGTGACGCAAGCATCGATGCCCCTCACGCGGATGCCTGCTTTTTGCAGCTCCAATGCCTTCCTAAACGATATCCATCTATCTGTCTTCTGAAAAGATCCAGTTTGCGATTGCGGTTCCCCTGTCCCGGACGAAGTTGTGGCATGTTTCGTGCACGATCCACAAATACGACCGCACGTTGTCCAACACTCGTTAGCACTTGACAATCGTTCAGTGTGCTGAGTACTTACGTTCGACTCGCCAGGTGGGCACATGGTATTGTAGAGACATTCCAGTAAGTGCTTGCAATCGAGAAATCGAGGAGGGACATCAGCCTTCTCGATTTCTAGTGTCACATCAGCACGTCGAAAGGGTGGACAGGGAAGTTTGAACCTACTGAGGGCCTCGTCGACAGTGGCTTTGATGAGATCTTCTGGCGATGGAGCATCCTTCACCAAACTCAAAACCTTCCCTATGAGCTCAAGAGGAATCTGATTCTTAACTAGCCAGACGTCAGAGAAGATCTGGTGAAGATCGGAAGCAACACCCACCTCGGTGAAGATCTGTCGAAGTTCTTGGAGCTGCTCGAGACCTTCCGAGGGTTCTCGCAGCTTGGAGCAGATCTTGGTACAGAGGAACACCGTAAGGAATACAGCATCCAGAGTAAGACTAGACATGGCGCTCGAAGCATTCAAGTGTCTATCTCTAAAAGTTTCATTGTACAAGTCTAGGAACGTTTGTGCGTTCTCTTCTGAGCCCACCACCTTCTCGCAAAGTCCTTTCCATTTCAAATTAAACTGTTCCATGAAGCTGGAGACGACACGCACCCTCACTTTGTCTATAATATCCATCTCAACTTGGTTCCTCCCATACAATCCAAAATGAATGATCTGCACTCGATAATCGTCTTTGCCAGCATCCCATATCCGTCGGGGAATCAGGTACATGCAAGTCTTTTCGTGACCACCCTGATCACGATCATACGCTTGCCTTATCTCATGGACATGCTTGTTAACTTCGTCAGGAATCGACATAACCCACGGTTCCGACTGTCCTGGTCTAGAACTCCCCTCCATCGTGTCATCTGTCCGTATAGAACTGCTCTTCATTGTGAGCTCAGTGTACGAAAGGAAAGCTCCTCTCCTTCAGAATGAGGTCATGATAAAACAGAGAAGAGTCCTCTTGGGTCAGCTCCAAATTCAGGGCGATTTCAGTACAAATTCGATCTCACTGACTGTGATCTATGACGTCTCACTACACAAAGTGGTGGCATTGGCTTCGAGCTGCTCATGTCCTCGGTTTGTTCACTGCCTGTGGTCGGTCCTATCCATCTTATGCTCCTCTGACGCCTAGGGCAACTGGAACTCGTTGACCCAGACCGTGGCTTACTACACTGCAGGCTAGAACAACCCCGACCGTATGACTGTGCGCTGACGGCATACGGTCACCGTTGTGACGGTCTCTCCTTTTACACCGTCGCCTCAAGAAGTCACCCGTCGAGCGGGCACCCTCTGTTATCAAAATTCGACACATGTGCACCCGATGGTAGACACGTGTCGGCGCGATGCAAAGCGACGCGAGCCCGGCCCGGCTTGAGGCAAGACAATCCGAAGGCCGAGCGAGCAACGCAAGCCAAGGCAGCACGAGCGCAGAGCTGCCTGCGTGCTCCTACTCGTGGCTATTCAACAAGCGACTCGCGTTGCAGAGTAGCCATCGATTCGGCAACCCGCGGCTCACCATGCCCTCCAGGTCGGGGCAAAGGGAAAGTGAGGCCATCATGTAGCAGACAGGAAGGACACGACACGAATACCAGATAGAGTAATGTTTCAGAAGGGGAGGGAGGGAGGGAAGTAGGGAGATGTGTTTCAGAGGGGGAGAAGTTCGTGTGAATGGGACGTTTTCATTTTAGTTAATGGTACGTTCGGTAGAAGACATCTCATTTTGTGGAGTCGCAAAGTAATCCTGGAAACATTACTGTAAGCACGCACTCGAAGCTTATACAAATTTGTCAGATTTAATGATAAATCACCTTGACGAATTGATCCCAACGCTTGAAAACTCAAATCGTGGATGAAGGATTGGAACCACTGCAGTGGTCTTTGATCTTTATTAAGATCCTTCGCTTAGATTTACACGGGGTGGAAGGACCATACGTCCACCTTCAGTCACTAGTTTCGAGAAAAGTTCACCTTCGACGGGTACAAATTTCGGTGGACAACTCTGGAACAAAGCTAAAGATAGACAAGTGATTTAATATGTTTTCACAAAATGTAGTTTGAGTCTTTTTATACATTTCCTTGCAGCTAACTTTATGAATTTCTTGAAGTTCGTCAAGTTTTTGTAGTCAATCATCCCTACATTGATTCACACATGACATCACTCGTCTGAGCTGAGCGTTTCACTAATGTATCAGATTAAGACCAACAACAAACTTGTACCTCTAAATTTTGATTACAGTTGTTTGCACATGTTTAAAGAGCAAACGTTTTCACTGAGAACCATATGTTCTGTCTCGGAGTTCATGTATAGTACCATCAGCACGTCAGCAGGGAAAGAGAG